TTAAATATTGTTCAATAGACCAGTGTTTTTAATTCAGATTAATTTTATTTGAATGTGTTGATGGCAGCAGCACAGCTGATATTTCTCTCCAGGATGGAGTCACAGCCAAACAGGAACAGACCAGATGAAGCTACTATGAGAAAAAGCAGAGAAAGCAGAACGTTAGAGATTGAACTAACAGATTCTGCAGAGTGGGAGAATAGAGATAGAATGAAGAAAAGGGGTCCCTATGTTCTCCAGCAGTCTAAATGGAGAGAACCTGGATTTGATCAGGTTTCCCTTTATTGGACTATTTACATCAACATAAACTGACAACAGCTATGAGGACAGGATGGAGCAAACATGCTGCTTATAGGAAGAAGTGTTGGCGTAGAGTGAAACAATCAGGATGAAGGAAACGTGTGAATCTTAAGCAAACGTGTGGAACAGTTAACAGAAGTGGAAACCCCAGACAGATTAGGAAGCAGTGAGCGTTTCAAACCCCCTGCTGCTCGCTGCCACCTTCATGGCTCCTATTCAGCTAATCCACGTGTTAATCCTCCATCTGAATGATGCATTTTCTGTCTGTCTTAACTCTCTCTTCTTAAAGCAGATATGCGTTTGCTGTAGTACTAATATATTTACATGTAAAATCATTTCATGCAGCTTCTTGTTAGATTAGTTGAAGTGTAATTGGGGCGGGATTTACCATTAGGCAATATTAAGCACCTGCCTGGGGCCCCATAAAACTCTGTTTATATGTATGGTTCAAACAATTATTCCTTATTTGTGCATATTAATTATGTTTTTCTCTAAAATGCCATCAGAACGCTGATAATATTAAGTGTGTCTCAGCCCCCCCCTTCAGTGTCCACCATATTGGATCAGTCCATTTGCTGCACATGTTCAGAAAGGTCCAAACAGACAGCAGCAAACCATTTGAAAACAAACCATGCAAAGAGCAGTGTTGCCAACTTAGCGCTTTAGTCGCTATATTTAGCCACTTTTCAGACCCCTCTAGAACTTTGATTTCTAAAAAGCTCCTAGCGCCAAATCTAGAGACTTTTTTCTGCTACTGAAGACTTTGGAGACAACATCTAAAAGCAGCGAACTCTGCTCTCCAGAGCGAGTAGATTGGTAACCCCGCCTCCTGCTCTCCTCTATCTTGTCTGCTGTCATGATTCATGCAGCTATTATTTCATCCAAATGAAAAATGGAGAACAGAGAAGCAGATCATGGCTTGTCTACAGTGAAAAGAAGGACTGGGTTATTTACTTTGGCCTTTTTGGAAACACAGGAAGGAGCAATCAGCTAAGTGAGCTTAGTGCTTGGAAAAAATCTTTCATTCCTTTAGAGACAGCATGAAAAGTCAGCTGAGTACAAAACATAGAGAGGAAAACAAGAAGAAAAGGGACAAGAAGAGAGGGACACAACCTAGAACAGATAATGGATGTCTATTCTATTAACATTTCTCTATCTGGATAATGGGTCTGTTTTATGTGTTGTCTTCTCAATTCAGAGGGCCCCCTGCCTGTCTTTGCCCAGGGCCCCACATTTCCTAAATCCGCCCCTGTGTGTTATATTCCAGAGCTGGTATGAAAGCGATGTAGCACAGGTGGACCATTGTTTCCTGCAGTTGTCGTACAGCGTGTCCCAGAAAACCAGCAAACAGGATGAAAACATGAGGTTTCGTACGACGGCTCCAGAAATGCCACCAGTTTGCCCGTTTTGACTGACAGGAAAACTTGTCCTACATAGCTCATATTTTGGGCCACATTTTTTTAACGGTGTCAGGGCTGAGAACTGAAGGGCGTATAACAGATGAGCCCTACTTTTCACTCTGTACCCCATTTGCAACACAATGACCCAGGCGGGGAAAGAGACGGAGCCTTGGGAGGAGAAACCTGAAGCAAATGTAAATCCAGAGCATTTTTTTTTTTTTTTCTTTCAGTGGGGGGGGGTTTATGACCGCTGTTGGAGCATACTCTGTCAACCTGACTCTGCTGCTGAACTGGTTTCCGTGGCGGAGTGCTTAAATTTAGCCCTCCCCTGTGTACCAGTGACTGGTTGGATGTGATTGGTGGGGGGGGACCTTCACAAGGTCGAAATGTCTCATTTCTCTCTTGTTCCAAACATCTCAGCGTCCTGTGGCGATAGGAAGCTGCTTTTATCGAACTGGTTCACGTTGAGATTGTGAGTTTCTGTCTGAATTGCTGCAGCTGATGGAGAGCTGGAAGCTTCATCTATTATTTATCAAGCGTCTGCCTACAGATGCTGAGTTTAGAAATAGGGCTCCTATAAAAGGTAACACCCTTAAAGTCTTTCACAGACAGACAGGTCTTTTCTCTCCAGTAATCACTTAGTTGATCCTGATGAGGCCCCCTCCCACAGCCCCCCAGCTGTGATGGCCTGGCTCCTCTGCCACCTCTGGCTGCTGCCATCTGAGCAGAAAGCGCCTCCTGCTCCAGCAGCCAGGTACAGTGGGAGTATGTTCAGCCCCCGTCCTCCTTTGTTTGACTTTGTTCTTCATGCGCTCTGCTGAGGCAGCCACGGGGAGGAGAGGAGAACAGAGGGAGCTCTTCTCATCTCTGCCAAGCTCTACCACTGTCTTCCTCTGGCTCTTTGTTATGCCTCCGCCACTTCCCTCGGTGCCTGCAGCTACAGCTCCTCTGGTGCAGGCAGATACAGCTGGGGTGGATGTGCCTGTGATGTGCTTATAGGAAGGTCTGCCATCACCTGAGGGAGGGCGGCCGACTTATTGTCACGCTCCAGACTAGAGGAAGGAGAAGAAACACATGCAGCCGTGATAAGTTGTCACATCGGGGGTGGATAACCCACGGCTTTCTGCTTCTGTTAGGAGCTGCCACATCACTACAGCATTGATTCCACTAATTCTTTTTGTTCTTAAGCATGAGAGGACTGCAGATATACATAACCCCCTCCACCTGAAAGTCACCTGACAGGTCATTGACTCACTAACCCACCAAGTCTGGCATCATGGCACACTTCCAGCAGCTGAGAGGCAGATGGAGGCGGACGCTTTTCTTAGATCACCTTTTGTGCTGCATGAGAGCTTCAGAGGTTTCCTCTTAGCAGTGGGACTCTACTGCCATCTTGTGGTAAAGATGAAGTCCTAACGACCCTGTGTTTGAAAAACGATCTAGAAATAAGTAAATATTTATTAAATCAAGTGTATTAAATTAAGAAATATTTACTGTTCCTGTTTGGCTGTGACTCCATCCCTTAATTTGAGTAGTTAAATGAGGTAGTTTGCCAATGGAATTAGTATTTTTACTCTTAAAAACAGATTATTAAATAATATTATAATTGTCTTGTTCCATTGGCAAAATGTCACTTTTATATCCTCAATTCAAGGACAAATGCCCTTATTTTAAGAAAAACTTAACTAGATGTTGATTTTCAATGCATTAACTTTATGAGCAGTGTGTTTAGGTAATTTAATTCAGTTTATTTCTATAGCTCCAATTCACATCATGTCATCTCAAGGAACTTTCCAGTTCACCAGATCATCCAGTCAGATTGATTCAAAGTTTTCTATCTAAGGAAAACCAGTTGATTGCATCGACTCATTGACTCTTCACCAATCCCTCGCACTAAGCATACTTGTAATTACAAACATTAACTATATTTGTAGCTACATAGATAAATATGCTCCAAATCTAGAAGAAAAGAACCATATGGGCAAAATTACTGCATCCAGCAAAATTAACATCCACTTTTCTTCTTTTCCAGGTTAAGCTTCCTTTTCCTATTGATCAAATCACAAATCTTCCACGCAACGACTTCCAAATGTTGGTAAAAATGCACAAATTGACGTCGGAGCAGCTTGAATTCATCCATGATGTGAGGCGACGGAGCAAGAACCGTATCGCAGCGCAGCGCTGCCGCAAAAGGAAGCTGGACTGCATCCTGAACCTGGAGTGTGAGATCAGGAAACTGGTGGGTGGACTGTTGGCTTTACATCCCGTCACTAAAAACCATCAGCTGTACCAGCCTTTCAGCAGGGAGTTAGATAGAACATGTAACCTTTCTCATGGAGAAAGCTAACTGTTGAACATGTTTTTGTTAAGGAAAGCTGTGTGTTTGCACCTCGAAGCTTTCTCTCTACGGTTCTTTTTCCTGAGAAGAGATTATTCAGGGCAAACTCTTTAACACGTCATAACTTATATGTATTAAATAATCAGGAGACATGACCACAGAGTTTGACAGAAATTATAATATTACTCAGATCAGAGAAGTTACAGAAGGCAGCTGCTTACCAACCAGGCTCTATTTGTTCTTAGATCAAAGAAAGTTAGAGATTGAACTAACAGATTCTGCAGAGTGGGAGAATAGAGATAGAATGAAGCAGAATGATGAAAAGGGGGTCCCTATGTCCTCCAGCAGTCTAAGCCTATAGCAGCATAACTATAGAGATAGCTCAGGATAACCTGAGCCACTCTAACTTGAAGCTTTATCAAAAAGGAAAGTTTTAAGCCTTAAAAGCTAACTAGGCTTATAGCTTAAAAAAAAGTTGTGGAGATTTTTAAGATGTGTGAAAAGTTTTGTGTTATTGCTCTAAATGTTGGTTTGTGCGGACAGGTGTGTGAGAAGGAGAAGCTGCTGACAGAGAGGAACCAGCTGAAGGCCTGTATGGGTGAACTGTGGGAGAACTTCTCCTGCCTGTCCCAGGAGGTGTGCCGGGACGTCCAGCTGAGCCCAGAGCAGGTCCAGTCCTTACACCACTACTGCCCCGTGCTGCGGACCCCCAACTCCACTGCCAGCAACAACACCGCCCACGAGTCCAGGACCCCCACCATCAGCACCCCAGCCGCCACCAGCATCGACCTCACCGGCCACTCCGGCTCCGCCACACCAGAACCCAGCTACGCCGACTCGCCGGGACCCTCGGAGAACGGACCCGAAGCCGCCGTCCGAAACGGGGCAGACAAGGACCCGGATGGCTGTGAGACCAGCTTGTTCCCCACATCAGAGTCTTTGGGGAAATCCCACCAAACCGTGACGGTGGATTTCTGCCAGGAAATGACTGAGAAATGTACGACCGACGAGCAGCCAAGGAAGGACTGTACCAAGTAGAGGTGGCTCTTTATTCTGTTGTTTTGAATGTTTTTTTTTGTATTATTTAATTTTACTCCTCTGACAAACCCTTTCTCTGGGTTGTGAGATGGTCAGCGTCTGCCAGTGTTCACTGAAAAACAAGCTTTGTATTTATGTCTTTTTGGGTCAGGTTTTTTTTTTCGTTTCTTTGATGTTTTCTTGAAACGGTTGACACTAAAATTGTCTTAACAGCAGCAATACTGTTCTGCAGGCATTCTCCTCTAACCCTGACAGAGTGGGAACCTCTCTCCAAACTCTTACAATGGTGCTATACCCACCGGCAGGAGGGACTGCCGTCCACGTGTCACACATCGCAACTTCAAGTTGAGCCTCATCGGACCTAAGCAGAAGCCCTCTTTTTCTACAAACAGAATCTCCGTTTCTGCCTTTCTCTCTCGTCTTTTTACCACTCTGTCGTTACTCGGTGTTTTCACACACAGACTGAGGGTTTCTAGAGATGTTAAACACAAATGTGTGCAGAATAACCCGGAACTTCTCAGGTTAGCAGTGCAGCTACCTGCTACCTACTTGAGCAAATCCTCTTCAACTTAGTGTCCAAAAAAATAACCATCATTTCTAATAATGTTAGATGAGATCAATTCTATTCAGTTTATTTCTATAGCACCAATTCACATCATGTCATCTCAAGGCACTTTCCAGCTCACCAGATCATCCAGTCAGATTGATTCAGTTTTCTATCTAAGGAAAACCAGCTGATTGCATCGACTCATTGACTCTTCAGCAATCCCTCACACTAAGCATGCTTGTAGCGACAGTGGAGAGGAAAAACTCCCTTTGAACAGGAAGAAACCTCCAGCAGAACCAGGCTCAGTGTGAGCGGCCATCTGCTGAGGCCCACTGGGGTTCAAGGAGACGGAAGCAGACATAGAAAAAGAAGCATAGATACAAAAGGCAACTGTCAACCAGCTCCACAGGCGGCCCCGTCCAGGAAACACACAGCCAGGCAGACGAGCTCCGAGCCAGCTCCCATGTCAGAGGATGAAGAGAGCACATCCAGTTAGTCACAGTCAGAGAAACAGGACTACACTGGAAAACAGGCTGATCTCCAACATCTAGAAACAAAGGTGACATCTCTTTGAAAGGAAAAGTCTGCTGAGCAAGGAATAATCAATAGATCATTATTTATTCCTAAAACTAATATGTTCACAGTGATTTAATTAATTTAGCATTAATTAGTAAAAAATATAAAAATAATAATTTTCATTGCAATCACTGAGTCTGGAAGCGGCCATTTCTGCCCAAATATAGTAACACTTAAATGTTACTAAATGAAAATTACTCTTAATTAAAAGCACTTATCATTTATTCAGCTGTATGAAATAATTTCATATTTAAAGTTCTTTCAGAAGTTTGAATTCTGAATATGAACTTTTCCTTCAGCTAATTATTATTTACACTGGAAAAAAAAAATCTAAACAATTCATTTTTTTCTTAAAATAAGTGCATTTTTCCTTGAATTGAGGAGGTAAGTGAGACACTTTGCATACAACACACCAATTTACATTTAAAATAAGAAAAAACAATTATATTGTCTTATTTAAAGAGGATAATATCTAATTATCTTATTTTAAGAGTAAAAGCAGTCCTTCCATTGGCAGATCATCTTATTTACCGTCTCAAATTAAGGGTAAATACACTTAATTTAAGAAATGTTGACTTATTTATAGATAATTTTGCAGTGTAGCCCTAAAATCATCCTGATACATTTTTCTACTGCAAAAACTGAACAAAAGTAGGTACATTTTGTGTATTTAAACCTTTTTTAAACAAGTTAAATGAATTATTTCCTTTTACAAGCCAGACTTAAGACGTAAGCAACCTGTTCACAGAATTTCTGTGAGTGATTTATTGAGAAACAAGCTGTCAAAAGGTCTTGGGTGGCCAGCTGTTTGTCTTCTTGCAGCGGCCATGTTGGACTTTAGGGTCAGTGCTGATATAAGGAAAGAGGAGCGTGATGAAGATGGAGGTTTTATCAAACCTTAGTACCCATCCAGTTGTGTTGCCATGACAACTACAAAGATGTTTACCTGTTCTTCATCAGAATCCAGCAGATGCAGCAGCAGCGTCTGAGAACGTCCCGGTTCTATTCTGCTCCCGTTCATCTCCACTTCTCAGCTGTTTGTGTGTGAAAACAGCCGGTCGGTCGGTCTCTCTCTACCTGTCTACCTCTCTCAGTCTCACTCTGTTTCTTCTATGATTATATCTCAGTGGCCCTTTTCGTCACAAGAATTCAAACTCAGGAAGAAAAAAAAAAAAATCCTCTGAATGTTCAACCTAATTCATGGAAAATGAGATCAGAGCTTCTGTACGATAGGAAGTTACAATGCAGTGAGACTGTCAAATGTTCATATGCAAAAAAAAGAAAAGAAAAGAAAAAATGTTTTCAAGCGTCTGTTGTTTGTATTTCTGTACAGGAGGACTTTGTACAGCCTGTAACTGAGAACATTCCTTCTATGCCTTCCACAGCACTGAACTGAAAGGAGAGAAAGGTGGATAGATTGCTATTTTTATTTCCCACTCATCAGCAATACCATTGTATTTGGATGTTGTAACGGTGATTTTTTCGAAGTGCTCGTTCGGCAGATGTGTATATAGTATGGAGCATGACGACTGTAACAGTGGTTTTTGTATGTGTAGAGGCGTAGATGTTTCCTTTTTTCTCTTGGGTTATATCAAGCACCTTTTCGCTGAGGGAAAACTTTTGCTTTGCTGTTTCCTGTCCTGCCTAATGAATACTTTCCATCATGGTGGGTGTTCTCATACTCAGGAAATCAGCTCATTACACACACACACACACACACACACACAGCATGCATCCAAACACATACAATCTTTGAGCCCCTTTTGCATGTTTAGATTTTTTTTTGTTATGCCCCTCCTTACCTTTCGCTCCTTTCTAAATGTGAAAAGGAAACTTCTTCCTGGTGTTATTTCTCCCGGCGTTGTGTAAGGAGCCTTCATTCGATGGCAGGGTTTTAACATGCTTCTTGTGTTACGCTCTCTCAGACACTTTTCTGTCGCTCTAAATTTTTTTTTTTGTTATTAAACCAAGAAAGAAGAAAAAATAGGAATGAATGAGTTTAGGCACTTTGTTTGCTGCCCCGAGAGCTCAGAGCCGTTAGCACTTCATTTAGGTCTGAAACTGGAGCACTTAAATCGGCCCTGAAAGAGGAAATGTTTTCCATGTCCTCATATGAACAGATATGGAGACTTAGAAGCGTCTAAAACAAGCTAAAATTTAAGTACGTGATTATCCAGAGCTTTTCTTTGTGTTTATTATTTTTAGTTATTGAATAAGCTAATTTGGGATGAATTTGACGTGGAAGCCGTGTTTGTGTTGTCCAAATGACTAACAATCATATAAGGTAGTAAGTTGTGTTTGAACATCCCTCCCTGTGACGTGCATGCATGCTGCCTAGATCTATAAGCCTAGTTAGTTGGTCAAAGCTTATGTTTCGCCTTGTAAGCTCTCTCTTTTATTCAAATCTTTTTCATTTTTTAGTTCTTTTTCAACATGTTATGTATAAAGAAGCTTAACTGTATCAAACCTCAGTAGAAGCGAATCCAAGCAGGGTTGAATTCAGCTTTGTTGCTTATTTTTTTCTCCCTTTAAAGTCCCAATCCTAGTGGTACCTGTTGGCAGAACATCCTCTCCATCACTCCAACCCTCGCTGTCTCCTTCATCCTATCTGTGCTCTTCCTCCTCTCTCCTCCCTGGTGGCTCCACATCCAGCATTTGTTGTCCAGTATCCCCCCCCCCATACATGTTCCCCTGCCTGCTTCCACTACTTTGATTCCAGATTGCTCATCCTGAGCCTTCCCTCTGATATATTCATTCCTAATCCCATTTCCAGCTCTGATGGCTGTGCCTCCATCTCTTGTCCCAGTCTGTCCTGCCTGCTGCTCTGAGCCCATATTAATGGGTAACAAAGCCCACTAATGCCAGGAGATGCATTTTCTCCACATACCAATGTTCATATTGGAAGCACTTTGCTGCCATCTAGTGGTCGCAGTTATATGCACACATTTGGATATTACATTCATTACATGTAATCTTCACTATAAATAACCAATCTCTTCTTAATTTAGCTTTTTTTAATCAGCATTCTTTGATAAATTTAGGCTATAAGAGGCTCAAATTTAAACAGATGTAGTTTGAGCTTAAAAAAGCGGCACACTTTAACCGTTTACCTGAACTAAACATTCATTTTGGGCTGCAGTCCGTTGGCTTAAACCCATCCAGTTGCGTTTTTCTGTCTATTTGCTAACCTTCGCTTTTACTTCTCATCTTGGCTGAGTTGGAAAGAGGATAAAATCCCCCATATGACCATGAAAAAGATGATCTCTGTAGGAGAGAGAAGCATATGTGTGTCTTTTATTGCGCCTCTTTCTTTTCCCTTCTTGCCAAAAAAAAAAAAAGTAGGATTGGGACGTTAAAGTTTGGAGAGGTTTTTTTGGACGTTCTTCCTCCTGACTTTTGCTCATGTACATTTTAGAATGACTCTTTATATTCAGATCTCAGTGGGTTAGATTTTTATTTTTTGGTTTTACTGCAGGATTCTGTCTCTTCTATGTACGTTTTTTTACCCCACCTTTAAATTGTTAGGATTTATCCCTTTTTGTAAAATCCATACATGCTAACACTCATGTAACACGCACACACTCGTGTCAGCCCAGTCTAGGTTTGGAGCACTAGTATCCATGTTTTATCTGCCCCTTTTCTGTGATCTGGGATGTTTTCTATTGCAAATCAAATCTCATGAGGACATTTAAGATTCTAGTTAAAAAAAATATCTATACTGGACACTTTCTGCCAAGAAAGGGAAGCTCACTCTTTCTATTTCATCAAAATCGAGTCAGTTTTAATGCTTCCATGGAAAAAAAAAATCAGATCCTAATTTTACAGGAGATTTCTCCTTGATCTTACAATCTTCCTGATCTCTGAGGTTTAGTCTCTATATTTAGAACATTTGGGTTTAAACTACAGATAAAGCAAAGAAAAGGTTAAATTTTTTTATAGAATAAAATAACAGAAAATGTATATTATACCTGGTTTGAATCTAGATGTTAATTTTCAATCTATGCTCAGTGTTGCATCACTTCCACCAGGGACAAACCAAAGCTGCTGTCAGCTCGGTGTGGCGTGATCGATCAGGTCAGCAGGTTTTATCCTTAATTCAGTGAAACACACCTTCAAATATTAAAATCAATTCCTAAAAAAGAGTGAAAGAGTTTAAAGCTAAAGTGTTTTTGCTTTTCATTGTTTTCTTCAGGTAGGCTCTGTATTTATGCACCTGATAAATGTTTAAGCTCCTTTTCAATCTGTATTTAAACTCTATGACTTTGTGCAAGCAGCACAATACAAGCGTTTGTTCTTTTGTTATTGGGAGGGTTATGGGTTATTGACAAATTAAGTTTGGTTGCTCTGAAACCAAAACTTTTAGCTATGCAGACAAAAAAAAAAATGCAGATTTGGTGAGAATTCTTCTTTATGTTCAATTAAAAGCTTCAAATAAAACTTTTATTTTCCATGATAGTGAACAGAAAGGAAGACATGCTGACATGAGAAGGTCTCTCTGTGCAGGCCAGACCTTGTTCCAACTATATGAACATTGCTGTAGCTCTAGAAAAACTACGAGCTCTTCTATCTGTTTCAGTTTGTTCACTTTGCTTTGTTACATTTTCATTTGTTTTTATTATTTTTTAATCGCTGCTTCTCTGACACAAACACTGGCTTTTGCAACTCCAAAGGTTGTTCTGAAAGAAGATGAACAAAAACATGCCTTCTCACAGATCGCTCGACTTCATTTAAGCAAGAAAGAAACGGTTTGTTCTTTGAATGCACAGGTTAAGAGCATTGAGTAAAATCTAAATGTAATATGTTTACAGATAGGTGTCGTGTCATGTTTGATCAATTCTCTGCCGTGTCAGAGTCGGTTCAGCCAAACGGGGAGTAAGAGACGAAGAATGAGTCCTCTTACCTCGTGCCGCTGCTCGGCGTCACATGGAAACAAGTGCACCTCCCATATTTGCCTTAGAACTTGCAGAGGCCATAGTTCACATTCAAGTGAAGTGAGTGTATGCAGGGGCCTGGGCCCCCATCCCCGAGTAACCAGAGCGGACTTCTCTCACACTTATCTACCTGTGAAATCCTTCATACCTCTCATAACTGGTCAATGACTGTATCAGCAAACTGCATCAGGTGTTTTTCTACATGCTTTTACACAGATTAAATGGATTATTATTGTATTAGTAGACTTTGGTGCATCTTTTTAATGAAATAGCTCCTAAAGCTTGTAGTTCAAGTTTTCTTTTTTTTTTTTTTGGTTTGTTTATTTTTTTCTAGACGACTGTTTTGTGTTAATATTGTCCACTTGAAATAGTTGTTATTTGCTTATTCTCTGCTAAGAGTTCTTACCTAAATTTTTAATGCTACATGACCCGAATTATTAAAGACTTAATAACCTTTGTAAATACTTTGTTGTGCAACCCCATTTTCATTCATTTCAATTGCTAGTGTTCTATAAATGACCTTTTTTTGTCTAGACACCATTTCTCTTTATGAAATAAAGAAACATGCATATCATGTTGCTTTGCTTTTATTTCTTCTTCTGGGTCTTCTTGGTCAAGTTGTGTTGCTGATAAAGGGATCTAAAGATTAATTCAATTCTATTTGGTTTATATCTATAGCGCCAAGTCACCACACCTGTCATCTCAAGGCACTTTCCAGTTCAACAGATTAATTCAAAGTTTTCTATCTAAAGAAAACCAGTTGATTGCATCGACTCCTTGACTCTTCAGCAATCCCTCACACTAAGCATGCTTGTAGCGACAGTGGAGAGGAAAAACAGGAAGAAACCTCCAGCAGAACCAGGCTCAGATTACCTATAAAAGAGGTGAAAATCAAAGTTGTCCTAATTAGGTCAACCTTTCAGATGTCGGGGGGGGCCTGGTGTCACCTTAATGGTGGTTAAGGTGCTTAAGCTGTTGGGTAAGTTCAGCAGTATCAGCTACAAATACATGGACTCACTTCCTTGCAGAGCTTGGACTCTGGAGAGGAGCTAAACTCTCATCCTTTGAACTGACTGAGGTGGAGACTACTGATCTCTATTTCTTCACTGGATTGCTGATTGCCCGTTGGTAGTAGGGGGTGGAAGTGAATGCGCCGGCTGCCATATTGGTACTCCCTAGTTATACCGGTTGCAATGTAAACTACAGCATCAAACAATGATGTTCTCATTTTCAGGGGGACTTAAGACTTTTAAAATAAAGATAAATTCATCACTTTGAGACACACTGGCTGTTTCATAGCATCGGTAGATTACTTTAATTTATGATTTTAAAAAAAGGGCCAATCACATTGCATAGTCATTATGAAGTCAATGAAGTCTATAAATCATGTAATATTAACATATTATACAAATCCATCACAAAAAATTGAATGTGTTCATGGAGAACAATAATACAGATGTGCAAAAAGCGCTAAATTGATGATGGACATGTAATATACGTGTATTGATGACGTTGCCTGCAATGTAATGGCGACCTGTCCAAGGTGGACCCCGCCTCTCGCCCATTGACAGCGGGAGATAGGCACCAGCACCCCTCGCGACCCCAATTGAGACAAGCGTGTCAGATAATGGATGGATGGATGGATGGATGATGATGTTGTTGGGGTAATACATATTACATATAATTACAAGATTTTACATCAAGACTGAATTACAAGTACATGTCTGTTAATGCTGTAGTATTTTACCTTTTTGCAAATTGTGCATGAATAATGCCATATACTTAAATGCTGTGTCTGTGCTTTAGCCTTTAAAATGTTAGAGTTGCTTTTTTCCCCCCTCAAAATAAGATGCAATATATTTCACCACATGCCTTTTTCAAATGAGAAATGTAACAAACACTACAAAAACGACAGCATCCTTCACTTAATAAAGAATCACTACATTAACATTTCACAGTAAATTACTCTCTATTTACTCTTCTATTTTCTAACATTAGACCCAATGTCAATGTCAGCAACCCAGTGAATAAAAAGAAATCAGTGGTGGAGACGTGTTGGATGGGTCGGTGTTGGAAAAACGATCTACAAATAAGCAAAAATGTATAAAATTAAGTGTATTTACCATTAATCTGAGCAGGTAAATTAGGTAGTTTGCCAATGGAATGCATATTTTTACTCTTAAAATAAAATATTTAGATAATATGCACTTGAAATAAGACAATACAATTGTGTTTTCTTATTTTAAGTGTTAATTGTCTTGTTCAATTAGTAAAATGTCTCTTACTTAAAAAAAAAAAAAATGACTTATTTAGATTATGATTTTTTTCCAGTGCGTTCTCTCAGACCACTTTGGGCCAAAGGTCAATAATCTGCCTTGTAACCCTCAGCTGATAGACAGAACACTGCAAAATAAGTACATTTTTTCAATAAATACTTTTTTTTTTGTTTTTTTATTGAGCAGGTAAGAGAAAAAATGAATAACAAAAATGACATTTAAAATAAGAGAAACAAGGGCAATGTCTTATTTCAGGTGAATATTATCTAATTATCTTATTGTATTGTAAACATACTCCCTCTATTGACAGATCCTCTGATTTACCTGCTCAAATAAAGGCTAGATTCTCTAATTTGAAGACATTTCTACTCATATTTAGACTGTTGGAGCAGTGTAAGAACTGTTGCTGCAACTAACGATTAATTCACTAATCGATTCATCAGATTCATCACTAATTAATAATCAGATAGCCAAAGGTTCCTTAAAAAAGATTCTATGGAGAATCAAACCGCGTGAAAAATGTTTTCCACTTGAGGTCTTGTGGGCAGATAAATTTTAAAGGGATTTTTTTATATGTTAAATTCAGAATATTTAAGTTTTATATATATATATAAATCCTGCTGTAAGTGGGATGCTCTGCAGCAAAAGGCATGTTTTAGAGTCTCAATGCTCTAGTTAACAATGAATGGATTTCTAAATTAGTTGATGATTTTTATCAATAATTTTAAATAATGTGATTGATTGTTTCAGCCGTAGTATGAACCCAACACCACACTGGAAAAAAATCATAATCTGGGTGAGTCATTTTTTCTTAAAATAACTGCATTTGTTCTTGAATTAAGGAGGTAAAAGACATTTTGCCAATGGAACAAGACAAATTAAATAAAAATAAGAAAACACGATTGCATTGTCTTAGATCAAGTGCATTTTATCTAAATATCGTATTTTATTTACCTACTTAGTTTAAGGGGAAATAGACTTATTTTAAGACATTTTTACTTATTTCTTGATTGTTTTTGCAGACGCAGAGAAAGACCCGGAACTTACTGGAGAATGATGCCTGCACTGCAGAAATGATCTAGAAATAAGTAAAAATGTCTTAAATTATGTGTATGGACCTTTACTTTGAGTTGGTAAAGTTAAGTATGTGCCAATGGAATCACTAATTTTACTCTTAAAATAAAATAATTAGATAATATGCACTTGAAATAAAACAATGCAATTGTGTTTTTCTTATCTTAAATGTAAATTGTCTGGGTCTATTTGCAAAATGTCTTCTTTCCATCCTTAATTCAAGAACAAATGCAGTTATTTTAAGAAAAAATGACTTATCTAGATTTCATTTTTTTCAGTGCACAAATATTTAAGTATATAAAAGCACATAAAAAAAACAAATGGTCTGAAAACATGATTTGTTTTTTATTTTATTTAGAGATTGTTATTGAATTGTATTTTTATTTTCCACAGAGCTTCATTACATTCTGCCGTCTAAGATCTTTGCTGAATGAATGTGGATCAGGAATCTAAGCAGGAAGTGAGTTAAACTGATATTTAATCTACAGATGCTGTGGTTGTTTCTGTGTGTGGAAATGCTCCGCCCATCACTTCTTGGTTCACTTCTTCATGATTGAAGACAGCTCCAGAATCATGCTCTGAAAGAAAAGGGACAGCTTTAGGAGATGTTCTCTGAACCATAAAGAATATTTCATCTTTGATATTTACAGCATTAGAGCTGCAAACAGCATCAACATCAGAGACCGACGTTGAAACATCATGAAGGTGTAAATTTAAAAGCTAATAAAGGTGGAGGAGCGTCTGGCTCCTCAGAACCTGATCCATCATCTCCATTGATCTCCAGACTCTGTCTTCCTCCTGTGTTTCTGACTAGCTGGGATCCACCTGGACAGATTCTCTTGCCGCTCTTCATTTGTTGCACTTCTAACAACATTTTATTATTTATTTAATACATTTATTTATTTGTTCATTTCAGGCAATTACATGCATCGAAACATACACTGCAAAAACCATCTAGAAATAAGTAAAAAAAATCTTAAATCAAGGGTATTTACCCTTAATTTAAGCAGATAAATAAGATGATTTGCCAATGGAATGAGTATTTTTACTCCTAAAATGAGATAATTAGTTAATATGCACTTGAAATAAGACAAAGCATTTTTTTTCTTATTTTAAATGTAAATTGTCTTGTTCCATTGGCAAAGTATTCCACTTACCACTTACTACTTATTCAAGCAAAAATTACTCATTTAGATTTCTGTTTTTGCAGTGTACAAGTGAATGCGACTTTATCAAGTCATATTATAAAGAACAACTAACATCAATATGTATAAAAACTCAAACGACAACAAGGAGTAGAAAATACAGGTATTAGTATTCAAATGAAGCAAGTAGAAGCAAAAGGTTCTTTAAAATATAAATACTCTAGTCTAGTGCACTGAAAAAATCTAAATCTAGATAAGTCTTTTTCACTTAAAATAAGTGCATTTGTTCTTGAATTGAGGAGGTAAAAGAGACATTTTGCCAATGGAACAAGACAATTTACATTTAAATAACACAATTGCATTGTCTCATTTTAAGAGCATATTTTCTAATTATTTTATTTTAACAGTGAAAATCCTCATTCCATTGGCAGACCATCTTATTTACCTGTTCATATTAAAGGTAAATACACTTAATTTAAGACATTTTTACTTATTTCTAGATAGTTTTTCCAGTATTGAGTACAGATCTTGGAAAAAGCAACTTAACTGGAAACAAGGTACACTGAAAAAAATAATGCGACCACTTTAGGCATTTACTTAATCATATTAAGTCACTTTAACACCATTGTTTTATGTCCTACCCTGCTAACATGAAACAATGGTGTTAAAGTAACTAAATATGATTAAGTGAATGCCAAAAACTGTATTATTTTTTTCAGTTTAATATACTTAGTTATTTGACGCCTCTGCTGATTGATCTGCACTGGACTTTTAGACTCTTTCCTGGTTTTATTTTGCAAGAAATATTTAACATAAACCATTTTAAAAACAAAACCTGGAGGAAGTGGTCAGTAATATATGCTTCTATATCAGTGACGCATATGAAGCGTTTGTTAGAAATGTTGTCATTCAGTGGGAAAATAAAGTATCAGTTAATATTGCTATGCTAAATTCAATTGAATTTAGTTTATTTTATAAGTTTTCTATCTGAGGAAAACTAGTTGATTGCATCGACTCATTGACTCTTCAGCAATCCCTCACACTAAGCATGCTTGTAGCGACAGTGGAGAGGAAAAACTCCCTTTGAACAGGAAGAAACCTCCAGCAGAACCAGGCTCAGTGTGAGCGGCCATCTGCTGAGGCCCACTGGGGTTCAAGGAGACAGAAGCAGACATAGAAAAAGAAGCATAGATACAAAAGGCAACTGTAAAAGGTGGCCCCGTCCAGGAAACACACATTTAGGCAGACGAGCTCCGAGCCAGCTCCCATGTCAGAGGATGAAAACAGATGTTATGACAACAGAGCAGAGAGATAAAGAAAGCCTTTTAAAGGTTGGTTTTTCTTTACATTTCCTTCAGCATTGTCTGTCAGTTTATTAGGAGTAAAAAATTGTTTTGCCGATATATTGTGATTTTTGACTGCCCGATATGATATAAATCTCTCAGTTCCTATTATTGATTTTTATTTTTTTTTTTAAACAAAACATGTTTGCCTAAAGCAATGAGGTTAATTACAGCAGCACCATGTCTGTAGTTGAGGCAGTCACAGCGGAAGACATGGACTGATTCAAACCCCAAACAAAATAACTAAATTATCATTATTATGATGGAACTTTAAGCAAAGTCCAAGAAATGTAAAAATAAAAAAAACAAAGTGATGAAACATCAGCAAATATGGTCGGTCACATCTCTCCCTCAATTCAACACTGCAAAAATAATCCAGAAATAAGTAAAAATTTCTTAATTAAAGTGTATTTACCCTTAATATGAGCAGGTAAATAAGATGATCTGTCAATAAAATTAGTATATATATATCCATCTAATATACGATAATTAGATAATATGCACTTGAATGACACAATCCAATTGTGTTTTCTTATTTTAAATGTAAATTGTCTTGTTCCATTGGCAAAGTGTCTCAGTTTCCTCCTCAATCCAAGAACAAATGCACTTCTTTTAAGGAAAAATGACTTATATAGATTCTTTTTTTGCAGTGAAAGTGAAGTAGGCAGATAACGTATAGATGTAGCGTTGCTAGAGCTGCTGTTGCTCACTGGGAAATGTTTGGTCCCTTTAACCCTTTGATGCCTGAATTCATATATCTTAAAATATTCTGTGTTTCTTTTGCTAAACAGAGGTTACTGCCATCTCTGTAACAAGAGGTATGCCTGTTAATATGAAGATACAGGAAGCAGTCATGCCACTGGCACTGCATGTGGAACAGCTGCTGTTGGTGGAACGCACACAATGTCTTGGCTGTTTGCAAAATACAACCGTTGTTTTCTTTTTTTCATTTTTAACAATAGGCGTCAGGGTGCAGAACTAAAGCTGCATCGAGCTTTATCTGAACTGTATGTTTGTAAAAACTGTAATCTGAGGGATTTTCTTTTTTTTTCCACTTGTTTTAACACTTCCTGAAGTCTCTCCCAATCCTTCTGTCCTATGCCTCCAGAGTACGAATCTTTGGCCCTGAAGGAGTCCCTGGAGGCGCCGGATCTCTGCCTGCTCAGACGCTTCTCTTCACAGCTTCCTGCTTGCTGTTTTTACTTTTTAGAAAAGCTGGACTAAACCTGTAACAGTGACTCCCATTGATGTTTTAAAGGATTTTACTCATTTTTTTTAGTCTGTCTTTTAAATCAAACCCAAAAGAACATCAAGTCAGAGGCAGCTCTGTCTGAGCGTTTGGTTTAAGGCTCAAATTCACACCGACGCTTCTTCAGATGTTCCAATTACAACATAGCAATGTTTTGACTGTATTATTTGTATTTTATTTATTTAATTCAACTATGTCAACCAGGATTATTTTTTTATGAGGACTATTGTCTAACAGCACAGAAGGCAGCGTGTTGACCTGGTGTTCTGTCAGATCAGCATACCCCATCAAACCAGCATACCTATAGTCAATATCCAAGACGTCAGATTTGCGTTTATCCCTTTAGTGTTGAATGAAAAATAGACTTTAAACTACCTCAATGGGCGTGTTTCCCTTTAGTCCTGTACAAAAAAAAAAATTTAAGGTCAGATCGTAGGCCGAAGGTCTTTAACAGGGGGTCTGCGACCCCTAGGGGGTCCACGGAGGTACTGCATGGGGGTCACGAAAGTTTTGGTTGATTAGACTATTTTTTATATTCCGCCTTCAATTCTTTCCACTCATTGAAATGTGCTTAAATCCACATTAACATGAATTCAACAGACTGTAGTAAACAGATAAATGGAGGCAGAAGATCTTTCAGTCATCAATGCAAACATTCAGCGACACACAGGAGCTCTTTAAGCTGGGCACCGTTTCATTCACAACACCTGTCCCATCAACCAGGAATCAGAAATACTTTAATAATCCCAGAGAGGGATTACTTTAGTTACATTACTCCATCTGTAATAGAGTGACTATAGGGCCGGTTTGATAGAACAGAATTCATACAATATATATATAATTAGGGGGTCCCCACTCCGTCTAGCCATCAGTTTGGGGTCCTTGACCTGGAAAACCTTGAAGACCCCTTGCAGTAAGTTATTAAATAGTTTTTTTGTACATGACTAAAGGGATACAAGCCCGTTGAGGTAGTTTAAAGTCTTTTTTTTGTACAAAACTAAAGGGATAAACTAAAGGGATAAACTAAAGGGATACACAGGTATTGACTGTGGGTATGCTGGTCTGACGGGGTATGCTAATCTGACAGAGCACCGGATCAAACCAGGACATCCCATCATCTCCCAGCAGAGACCCTACCCCTCTTTAAAGATTAGAGGTCCCTGTTTTGTGTTTCTAATGATGCTAATGTTGGTGCTCCTACCATGGACATCCTCCTCCCAGAAGCCGGAGGAGGTGGGGTCATGGCTGGGCTCTCTCCCTGGTTGAAGTGCTGGGCCTCGGTATCCGTCCCGCTCTGAGAGGCCCCGCTGTCAGACGGACTGGCCAGCTTGGCCTCTGACATTCCCCTGGACATAAAACTGCACTTCCTGGCTGTGGGATAGTGGTCACTCTCTGGAGAGTCGCTCATGTCGCTGAGCTCCTTGCTGACGTTGACTCTGCTCTGTTTTCTGGCAGGGTTCCTCAGGGCAGCGGGGATCTCCATGTGGCTGGCCCCCAGCGTTGCTCGAGGCCCTGAGTAGCGGGGCTTGGCTGAGCTTTGAGGTCCATTCGAGTCGTCGCTGCTGAACGATGGTTTCCTGTTTTCCAGAGTGTACCGTCGCTCCACAGCCCCCAGCTGCAGCAAGCGCTGGATTTCGCCTTGGCTGGGCCGGTACGTCTGCTGCAACACCTCCACGCCTTCTGGACAAGCGGCCGGAGCGGGGTCCTGAGGCACAACGTCTCCTGGAGCATCCTTGTAAGGCTCTAATGCCGCAGCGCTGGCTCTCTGCGTCAGCTGAACCAGCCTTTGCGGCGAGGAGTTTGAGAGAACACAGATTTGCTGAACTATGGAATTTTTCTGTGACCTGCAAAAACTGTCGTCATCTCCGTATTTGTATCCATATAAGATCTGCTTGATCTTCTTCACCCCCAGATGGAAGATCTCCAGAAGGTTGAGGAACAAAGAGACGCCGGCGATGACGAGCATGAAAACCATGAAAATGTTCTTCTCCGTTGGCCTGGAGACAAAGCAGTCGACACTGTTGGGGCAGGGCAGCCTCTCACACTTGTAGAGAGGAGACAGTCCAATGCCGTAGAGAGCACACTGACCGATGATGAAACCCACCTCCACCACAGATCTGGTAAGGATATGAAAAACATAGGTGCGGAGCAAGGATCCTCTGAGTGGCGCTTTCCTCACCTTCTTCTGTTCGTCCAGTTTCCTGAGCTCCCTCTCGATTCTCCTGTGGTCCTCCTGGTCGGGGTCCGTCCCCTCCAGCTCAGCCTTCAGACAGGCCTTCTTCCTGTGCCTCTCTTTCTCTAGGGTTCTCAGGCGGTACAAAGCGTGGCCCATGTAGACCAGCGAGGGAGAGGAAACAAAGATGATCTGCAGCACCCAGTAGCGTATGAGGGAGATGGGGAAAGCCTGGTCGTAGCAGACGGTCTTGCAGCCCGGCTGCTCTGTGTTGCAGACGAACTCGCTCTGCTCGTCGTCCCAGACGTCCTCAGCTGCAACGCCAAGCACCAGCATCCGGAAAATGAACAGGATGGTGAGCCAGATCTTCCCCACGATGGTAGAATGGATGTGGACCTCTTCTAGGATGCTGCCCAACAGGTTCCAGTCCCCCATCTTCTCTCACATTATTAGCAGCTGTGAGTGAATTGATGAAAAGATCTTGTTTAAAAGATGTTTAAGTAAAGGTTAGAATAAAAAGCTTCACTTACATCTCCTCTAAAGCTGCTATTAAACAGATGATCCATCTGCAGCAGCAGCATCAGGGCTCACAGACCGTCCCTTGAAGACTGCTGAAAAGCCCACTGTGCTCTGTTGCTGACCAGGTTCCAATGCTGCTGCTAACTAGGACTCCAGTTTGAACCTATTGATCAAATCACACAGACCTAAAACACCCCGAGGTCTGTTTCACCCTGCCACACTTTTATCAGGGCACTACACTGGAAACATTGCTGACTAAGGTGTCGATATGCAGCTTTGTTCAAAGCTTTCAACCTTCCTTAATGATAATTCTGGGTCACTACAATATGACCATAGCAGTTTAGGGACACATGTTTCTCTGGATCCTTTATATTAGTGGGTTGGAAACAAACAAAATAAACATGTTAGTCATTGATGCAGCCATCAGGACCATTTCAGAATAACTTGTTTCCTGGTTCAATGTAGCAGAATCTTTAAAGGAAAACTCCGCTCATATTCACAATTCAAACTTCTGAAAGTTCTTTAAATATGAAATTATTCCATCTGTTCAATAAATGATCAGTGTTTTCAGTAATTTTCATGTGAATGTGCTTTACTGGAGGCATCCATGTTTGTCAAAGAACACTACTGCCACCTACTGGTTAGTGACGTCACGGTGCGGTATCGGCTGTTGATCAAGTCCCAGTGCTGTATCTGGTGTTTGTCACAACGCGCTATTATCCAAGTCATCTTGAAAACATTCTTCTTCCAAATGTTGGCTACATATTACGGGTTTTTTCTCTGGCCAGAAGAGAAACAACATGTAATACTGCAATGTGGATCATGAATCAGAAAGGTGAAATAACTTTTTTTTTTCACTTTTACCCGATGTATTCCAGCATCCAGCTGCCATGCACGTGGGCATTGTCAGTTTCACTATAGCTCTGGTGAATTTCAATGGTGAAGTCCTCTGGAAATCTTCAATAATTGTTGTTGATTGCAGATGTGTCTAGTAGTTCCCATTGATTTAGCTTGTAAAGCGGGGAGAATGGCGCTAGGCTTACCGCACCGTGACGTCACTGCTGGAAGATGGCAGGAGGGAGGGGTTACTATATTTGGGCAAAAATGGCCGCTCCCAGACTCAGTGATTGCGACAAAAACTATTGTTTTAATTTTTTTATGGATTAACTCTAAATTCAATAAATCACAGCGAATATATTAGGTATAAATAATGATCCATTGATTATTCCTTGCTGACCGGACTTTTCCTTTAAAAAGGAACTGGTAAACCCTGCATCATATACAGGGAACCAAACATAAGAAGTTCTTGTTAAACTGGAAGCGTGATGTTAAAGTGATGATTTAACTGAAAGGAACATAAATCCATAAAGGGTGGGAAAAAGACAAAGCTTTCACACACGCAGATTGAGTTGTTGGTCGTTTATTGAAAGAAAAACTCACAACAGTCATTTGTAATAATTTGAATCTCACACAAAAGTAATAATAGATATGATTTCTTTGAAAATTAGGCAATGGAAGTCAGTTATTGCTTTTCAAGATGGCTTCACAATAGGATGATGTTAAAGAATAAAACTCATAAACCAGCATGAACTAAAGGTATTCTACCATTAACTCAATATTTTGTTGCACAACCTTTTGAAGCAATTACTGCAACCAAATGATTTCTTGTAACTAATGATGAAACTCCTGCTCCTCTCAGCAGGTTTTCTCCTCCGCTTGTCATCAGCTAACTGCTCCAGGTGTCTCAGGCTGCCTTTTCCAGACGCCGTGTTTCAGCTCCTTCCAGAGGTCAGGCTTCATAGAGGCCACTTCAGAAGAGTCCCATGTTGTCCTCACAGGTGTTCTTGGCTGTTTCTGTGTGTTTTGCTTCATTATCCTGTTGAAGACCCATGAGCTGCTGCTAAGACCAAGCTCTCTGACACCGCATCACTCTCTACCATCCCTGGAAATTTCAATGGAGCCTGCAAATTTTATCCCCAAAAGCCCGGCGGGCCCCGTTCAGGGCCCAACTAACACCTGCTCATGTTTATCTATTTATAGAGATGGCCAAAACACAGTCACATGGTGTTTCATCCACACGCCTTTAAAATGGGGCTTTAACAGGGTTTATTAAGGAATCAGTAACTATCTCTCTCTCTCTCTCTCTCTCTCTCTCTCTCTCTCTCTCTCT